TAATTTATGTTCATCTAGTTCAAGAAGCACGTGAAAATATCTATCATGTATTATATACGCTTTTTCCTTCTTTATGCTTTATCAACTTTTTGAAAAAGAAATGTGAAAGAAAAAAATAAATATTTCGTTCGCAAAATGCCAAACATCGAAAAATTAATTGAATTTTCCTTTAGCATGTGAGATTTTTTTTGCGTATTAGTAAATAATACCTGTTACTTTCTGTAGTGGTACACTTGCGAGTGTACGCCCGGAACAGTTACAATGAGTTTCCCATTGAGCAATTCCCGTAACATCGCATAGTCTTCGATGAACACGAGCACTATTTTGCGCAAATTCGACAGCTAAATAAAATAGAATTTTGTTAGCATTGAATATTAGGAATGATAGGCAGAAATATTACTTAAATAATTAGCAATATTAATCAACAGAATAAACGTTTCGAATATTTAAATTGACACAAAAAATGATTTAATTCACAAAAATATTGATAAAAATATAGACTACTGTATTAATACTGTAATATAATATATTGCAGTTAATAAATAATAAAATTGGAAATTTTATAAACAAGCTGCATAAAAAAGAATGCTTTCCCCATTACTTTATTGCCTTTGTCTATTCACGTTTTCGCGATTATAACAAAGTTTTGAAATCGAGAATAATATTCAATCGAAAACGACAGTATGTAATTTTAAATATTTGCATTGAATTCTAGAATCAAATATAATATTTTCGTCAAACAATTATTCATGGTTGGCCCATGTCCGTGGGCATTTGCAAAATATCAGTAAGTTCAATGTTATCATTGCCTTCCCGAAATATGCAGTCCTCTTTACGTTCCATACTAAGTATTGTTCCGCACAGGTTCCATGATCGAATGCATGCACAGTCAGCTATTCCCAGGAAATATTCTTGTGGGTCCACTTGCTCGTTTGGCGCAAAGGGAGCATAAGCTTCCACGAACATCTAAAAGGTTCATTGATTGAAACATAATTCAAGCAATTTATATATTGAAACGATTAAACCAAACTATTTGAAATTAATATTATTTAGCATTGACTATTTTTATCATCGTTGAAATTGCATAATTGCACTGTACGACCCCTCAAGCATTAAGTTTTTTTTTCTCACTGACCACTGCAGGACACTATGTTATAAAATAAGTCCGATGTCAGTTATTAAATTACTAGCATTTTTGAACGTTTCTTTTAATTTTGTGTTACATTTTAATCATCAATTTACCGCGCATGTCTCCTCGCCAATTTCCACTATAGCACATTGTTGCAAGTATAGTTTGCTCACCCAATCGCTAATATCGTAGTTCGAATGTATATCTTGCGGTATAACCCAATTTGGTAGATGATTTCTTCTTGATTGTGGTATTTCAAGTCTGTATTTATTCACAGTTTCTGTTGTTTCATTGTTTTCTGTGTATGCGGGGTTTAATAAAAGCCACGTTAAAAATATAGTAAAAAAATTCATTTTGTATTAAAAAAAATGTCTATAAAAAAGTAAAAAAAAATTGCGTTAAAAATATTTTGTTTCGTCCGATCGATTCGTTTTTATTTACTTGATTATATTGTTGACAATGTCAATCCTAAACAAAATAGCATAATGATGTGAATTTAACATGTCATAAATTTGCCGAAATCTACAAGAGTATTTTTTTTATCAATTTTATTAATCGTGATACGAAAAACCCTGTAAAAACAAATTATTTGTAACTGCTACTAATATTTTATTTGCTTATTCAATTCAATTTGCTGTTTATTCAATTTTATATGATTATATATATATATATATATATATATATATATATATATATCCATAGCTCTGTACGGATTAGAGACATGGACTCTAACAAAGGCCGATAAGAACTACCTCGAGAGTTCTGAAATGTGGTGCTGATGGCGATTGGAGAAAATAAAGTGGACAGAGTAGATAACAAATGAAGAAGTCCTGAGCAGAGTTTGCGAAGAAAGGACTCTACTGAGAACAATCCTGAGAAGAAAAGCAAACTGGATCGAACCCCTTCTGCATAAAAAGGAATGGGAAGAAGAAGAATGCAGACGATTGACGACTTACGCGAGAAGAGAAAATACAGGGAACTGAAAGCCGAAGCACAGGATCAAGAAGCATGGAAGCAGAAGTTTGGAAAGGAAAATACACGGAATAAAAGAAGGGGAGGGAAATAGTGGTAATGGGAATGATAGACGAATCAGTTATTTGTGGTGGCTCTCGCATCATGGACCTGCCTTCGAGCAGACTACCATTTATTATTATATACAGTGGTGTGTTATCGAGCCGGAACGTCGTTTCGTCAAAAGAATTTTGAAAAAATCGCTACATACAGAAAATGCGATTTCATAAGTGAGTATTAGATATAACCGATTGGTCAATGCGTTCAGAGATTATATTAATACTGGAGGCTAAAGATATAGAAATCCTAATTCGATACAGAAATATTGTGCCTTGGAGTTCGGCAGAGTGTGAGCGATGATTCAGTAATATGAATATTATTTTAAATGAACAAAGAAATAGAATATTAATTAAAAATTTAGCAAATGTTTTTTATAAAAATGAATGGCCTACCACAATAATTATTTAATCTTGGTTAAAGTCTCATCGTTCAGCGGATGACAACAAAACAAGGAATATTCAACTACAACATCTTGAACATAATCCTATTTGGAATATTTTATAAAAACCATTAGTGTTTTAATGTTAAAGCTGTTAAAAATATTTATGCAGTGTTGTTTGATATACTATTTGTACTTTATAATTTAACTAATTTTTTATTAAACGTTCCAATTATTGTAATAAACATACACACGCATATATATATATATATATATATATATATATATATATATATATATTCAATAGATAAGTCCTGGATTTTTTCAAATATTGATTGTTTCTTTTCCGAACAGTAAATCCAATAATAAAAAACAATTTGTTTTTTTGAAGATGTTTAATACGACGTTTCGGAACTAGGTACGTTCCATCATCAGGTTTATTCTGTCAAATACAATGTTTTTTAAAAAAATATTGATTAACAATAATTAACGATGGTCAATACAGATTAATTAGAAAAAAAAAAATTTATAAAGGAATGGATTATGTACCGGGGTAAAGAGTAATAAGACTTAACTAAAAAAGGTTTTATATAAAATTGAGAAGCAAAAATTATTTACCTGTAATAATTTATATATCCATATCACTAATATTTTTTTTTTTGTTAAAAACACTCGATTTTTTTGGAAGATATTTTTAGATGTTACGACTACACAAGACTTAAACACACTGATATGGATTTCTGTCTGCCAGATGTAAAGGACAATGCACGGAATTCTTGGCAAAAATGATTTTTTATGGCTCTTGTTTGGTAATTTACGAAAAAAGAGGAAATATTGCTTTAGTAAATGTTGAGAAATATTATGTATATATATATATATATACATACATGCACATGTATATGCACACCTACATACTCATACATACATTGTCAAAAACAATACATTGGCCAAACATCACAGTACATTCATAAGAGAATGAGACAACACGAATTAAGCGTCACTCATCATAAAAGCCGAAATTTCCAAAGTACTCTTGTCCAGCATTCCATCGAAAACTCACATAATTTCACCTTTGAACCCAATATTTTATATAGAGAGGATTGTACTTTTAAAAGACTTTTTTCTGAAAGCAGTTTAATCTTTTTGAATTCGTCAAATAGTGTTAATAAAAGATCAGACCACAATATCATTCATGACTCATATTTAAATTTTTTAAACCTGATTAAAAATAATTAATCCTAATAATTTTTGAGTATGTATATATATACATGTATATATGTAATAATATATGTACATCCATATATGTGCTTATGTGTATGTTTTTGTGTGTACACTATATACATGCACTTGCATATATGTTCATGTATATAATTGTGGATACATTGATATATAGATATGTGCATATGTATGTATGAGTATGTAGGTGTGCATATACATGTGCATGTATGTATATATATATATACATAATATTTCTCAACATTTACTAAAGCAATATTTCCTCTTTTTCGTAAATTACCAAACAAGAGCCATAAAAAATCATTTTTGCCAAGAATTCCGTGCATTGTCTTTACATCTGGCAGACAGAAATCCATATCAGTGTGTTTAAGTCTTGTGTAGTCGTAACATCTAAAAATATCTTCCAAAAAAATCGAGTGTTTTTAACAAAAAAAAATATTAGTGATATGGATATATAAATTATTACAGGTAAATAATTTTTGCTTCTCAATTTTATATAAAACCTTTTTTAGTTAAGTCTTATTACTCTTTACCCCGGTACATAATCCATTCCTTTATAAATTTTTTTTTCTAATTAATCTGTATTGACCATCGTTAATTATTGTTAATCAATATTTTTTTAAAAAACATTGTATTTGACAGAATAAACCTGATGATGGAACGTACCTAGTTCCGAAACGTCGTATTAAACATCTTCAAAAAAACAAATTGTTTTTTATTATTGGATTTACTGTTCGGAAAAGAAACAATCAATATATATATATATATATATATATATATATATATATATATGCACAAAATGGGTTTTGTAATGATTTTTGTTTCTTTCATTCTCGAACCGAACCGGAACAAATATGAGAACCTTAACTTACGATTTAGATTCGAAAATGTCGGCCCAAAGTTGTTCAAGCTGGCGCGGCGTTTGTGACTATTTTCTCTCATACTGTACGGTTCATCACAAAAATAAAAATAATTTTGAGTTTTATAGTTTCGTATAAATAAATATTTTATAATACTTGCGTTCACCATACCGGGACATGCCCGTAATGCGTAATATTTGCTTCTGGCCCGAATATCGTACGCGGGCTGTGCCCGTAACATTTAATTTTGGCCTAGCAATCGCACGCGGGCTCTGCTCGTCATTTTAAGTTAAGGGGTTAATATTATTTTTTTTTTCAGGCTATGAAACCGATGACTTCGAGATTATTGGGCAATAAATATAGCATATTGCTTTATGCACAGACTTGCTGTTCTTCTCATGCTGTTGGACAATAAATGTACGCAGAAACCACTTGTAAATATCATTATCGAATATCTGATATTATCCCTTAATATCGCTGATATATGTTTGAAAACAATATAATAAGCTACTGCGTTCAAAGGGTTGTGACATATATCAACACTAAATGCTCCGCAGGATCAAACTTTTGGGTACAAAAGTAATAAATTTTAGGATTCATTTACAATTTTCGCTACAAATGTTTAAACCTTCATAGTTTTTTTTATTAATTTTTTATTAGCTAAAAACACACACACACACACACACACACACACATATATATATATATATATATATATATATAATATGTAATGTGTGTGTGTGTGTGTAAAATGCACAAATATTAAAAATTTACATTCACAGTAAGAACATTCTTATTGCATCAATCATGTAAAGCATCATCAAGCTATTAAGAACATAAGAACAAAAGATAATTCGCGCAGGAATGAGAATGTTGATTAATTTGTTGTATTTTCAGCAATACGTATATATATTTACCAATGAATAGTCAAATGTTAGGAAACCGACCTCAAGGTCCAATTGCTCCACGTAACATTGAGACACAAGATTTGAATGAAATGATTGAGGTACGTGATTTATTCTTATAGCCTTTTATAAAAGTATTATTACAGTTAAATCACAATTGAATTAATAAAATAAAGAGTAAAACATTCAAACATGAAACTTCGTTCACTTTCATTTATTGTTATTGTCTAAATTTTAAAGACAATAATTTATTATTTTATCATTTATCGCGTCTTTGAAAAAAGAAAATAACTTATTTCATGTGAACTTTTAATTATGTGAATAATTTATCATTTAGGAGTGTGTGATGAAGGCTACAGATGATCCAGCTCCAAAACATGTTAAGATGGGGAGGAACAAGAAAAATGTTAAAAAAAGTTTATTGAAACATGCAAGAACAACAATCGTAAAAGAAAAATAAACTCCTCTCAAAGTGGAAACATGTTTGTTTCTACTCCTGGCGATTGTCAAAATCCATCAGAATATAGTATCGCTAGTAATAATTTTAACAATACCAATGCATCTGATGCTGATTTTTTCAATGATAATATACTTACTGACCACGTGATTAATGAGCCAACACCATCATGTAGTTACACTTCCAATCATTCTGTGCCATCAAACATTAATTTGATTTCACCGGAAAGATTCGACCATGAATACTTTGTCGATAATCAAGAAACAGGAAAACGTCTTCGTAGCAATTCTCAGAATGGTCAGAGAAATACTAATATAACATCTGCTCCGTCTAGTACTGAAGTACGTGCGCATCCATCATCATTAGAATGGCGCGATGCGTCCTTATGTCGAAACTGTCATCATCGTATAAATGCCTACACTGTACAACCTGATTCAGCACCACATTTTGAAAGAATACAAATACAAAATCAAATTATACCCGCACTGATTTTAGACTCAGTCGATAAGAGAAACAAGTGCCGCAACTGCAGTTGACCAATGCACGAATTCAGTTACAATTATCTGCTCAGGCTAGGGAATCATTACCACTGTTAAGTAATAGCAATGCTTCTGAATCAGTTTCATCTTTTAATGATGAGCCTATATGCATATCGGATGATGAATCAGATACAGATACTAGTCTAAATACATATGTAAGTGCAAATTAGGTGGCTTATAATTCATTTGGCATGAAATGTGAAATGTCTTTGAACAAATCTTGAAATATTATACCACTAAAATTATCAGTTTGAAACATAATAGGAAGCGTTATGAAGAACATATAAAGACCCTCATATTCATTGATACACAATAAGTAGAAATATCTAAAGAATATGATGTTTAACAATCAAATTATATTACAAATTTTGGCATTATACTCATAAGAATTAAATAATGCATTGCATGTATAACTATATTTTACGCATTTTAAATTAATCTCGTTTCAAGTAACGCGAAATTTTATTTACATAACATTGTTCATGAATTTATAACACTTTAGGTCTATGGCAACGCCCAGCGTTGTATGGCAAACCTTACACAGGATGCCAATTCTGCTGTAATATCAAGTGAAAATTTAATGCTCCAGGTCCAAGTGGTCATACTTCAAGAAATAATGGGGTGAGTGACTATTTGTTTTTGATATCTCTTTTTTATATATGTGAATTTCTATACTATGACAGTATATGCATGCTTACACGCATTCATTTATATTACCTTTAACAAACAAGCACATTTTCTAAAACTATTCCCAGCAAGTCGACGGGTTTTTAGAGGAAATTAAGGGCTCAATGTATATATATATATATATATATATATATATATATATATATAATATATATATAGTCATAGATAGGGCTTACAATACCGGGATTCCGTAATCCCGAATACCGGGATCCCGGACGATTTTTGTCCGGTATTCAATACCGGTATTGATGCAAATAATACCGGTATTACGGTATTACCAGTATTCTATCAAAAATTCAACTTACGCAAAACACATATCAAGTTTTAGTTTCCAAACTATGTATTGTGTATTGCCGACTCAGCTTGACAAAGAAGCGGTGTCGGTAAGATAAAGCGATTGTTTATATATTTGTGTGACAGCCAGCATTGTATTGCATTCAACATAAGAATAGTCAACATTGTAATAATCTTTTATCGATGAATTGCACACATCGCAGTAATTCCCGAGAAATCCGAACGGGTAATAACTTGACTTGCACTCACACATATAAAGAAATTCTATTGATCATATTCAAAATCAAGGGAATTCCCTTAAACTAAATAAAATGTTATATAAAGCCGCAATGTAACTTTAAGTAGGCAGTTGTGTAAATTTCGTGTGAACATCTCAAAGTTGCGGAAAAATAAATGTTTATAAGAAGAATAGTGTGTTTAATATTGTGTGAATATTGTGTTTAATTTGAACTTATAATATTTATAAGAGAGTATATAAACCAAAGTTAATTAAGTTAGTGTGTAATTAAAAAATTTAAAATAAATACTTCACCCGTGTGTGTGCTAAAAAAAACTCCAAGTCTAGAACAAAAAATAAAAGATGAAATTACTTTTTTTGAAAAAAAAAACAGGAATAAAAAGAACGAACCTACAAAATATGTATAATTTCTTAACTACAATTGTACCAACAAGTGTAGAATCGGAAAGAGCTTTTTCGGCGGCTAGTTATATTTGTAATAAAATTCGGTCCTCGCTTGATGATCAAACAATTCATTGTTTATGTTTCTTAAGAGCATATTTTATTAAGCAAAACGTTAGCCATGAATTATAATTTATTCTTTTCTTAAGTATATATTAAATTAAATAAAAATTCTCATTATAAATGTAGAATGTAAAATGTAACATAGAAAAATATATATTTTTTACTGACACGTTTGTTGTTTCTATCTACTTCTACTCCTTATGTAATAAATAAATAATACGTACTAATTTCAGGACAATATTTGTTAGATTTCATATATTATTTGTTAATATGTCAATATAACAACTGAAGTAAGTAAAAATATAACTATTTAATTTTTCATCGACAATACCGGTATTAAAACCGGGATCCCGGAATTTCATTTTTCAAATATCGAATACCGGTATTCAGATTTTTGTACGGTATTGGAAGCCCTAGTCATAGAGGAGGTCTCAAAACTTAACGTCAATCCGAAACAGGGTGATTGTATTAATCGTAACTGTCCTGATAAAAATTATTAAAAAAAATTAGGTTATTCTGGTTAATTTTTATAACTTTTTCGAAAACTTTTCAATTAACAAACAAATTTTTATTAAGAAGATATAGGGCATGTGTTGACGCAGATAGGAAACAATTTGAACATTTATTATAATACAAAATGACATTTTTCTAACTTTTATTTCAATAAACCTAAATTAAACTTAGTCAAGATTAGACATTATTTTATTAACTCTACTTATTTTTGTTGATTTTGATAACAGTGGTGTCAGTATTTGTTTCACTCACTAACTCTACTTATTTTTGTTGATTTTCGTAAAAGTGGTGTCAGTATTTGTTTAGCTTATCTACTATCTCTCATCATTTTACAGTAAAAATTATGAATCTATCAAGAGTTATTTGAAACAAAAACATTTGAGTGCATTTGCAATTATGGGACTTTCTTTCGGTTTTTTTACTCGTTTTATTTTACCATTTTACAATCCTAATTAAATATGCCAACTTTTGATGAAACTTGCCAACACAGCTTTAGTACATTTTTTTTTTAAAAGGAAGGTTTCTGAAAGTCGATCGATTTTAAAAGTTTAAATTTATATAGTTCAGCAAAAAGTCCTATTACTGGGCAAAATTGGGACAATTGTGTTAGTATTTTTGACTGTGGTCTTAGAAATATTATTTACGATTGCAGTTCCAAAGTTTAAATGAATATAAAGTAATAAAAATCGACTATAATACGCAAAAAAATGATCACAAATTCACCAAAGCTCATATTTTTTTTCAGGACCCTTACGGTCAATACTATCGCCTTCTTTCGGCTAGATGTTGAGTTCTGGGACACCCTGAATAAATATTCATATATATATATATATATATATATATATATATATATATATACACCTAAGTCTGTTTTTACACGGAGATTGGTTCCAGAAGAAGCCGTGTAAAAAAAGACATTGGTCTTATACAAAAATGGGTGATTTGTTCCTACTCTCTAAAACTATTAAAATTAGTGAAAAACAAGAATTTTCAAGAACAAGAATCATGTTTATTTTAATAATAATTCCCCTAAATTAGTGCTATTCACATTTGCTTTGATCAGTAAAATTGTTTGTACGCGCTAAGGGAAATTCACTTAAATCTTTAAGCTAGTGTTCGCAAACTATCGATACTATCGATGGTTTCAGACGTTTTTCTTTCATAAGTACTTTTTGTGATATGAACATACTTCGCAAAATTAAATTTGACAAAAAAATTTAAGTACATAAAATTTCAAATCGTGCTAAATGGAATAAAATCGTGTAAAAAAATTAAAAATATTCAATTTTCAAACCGTGTTATATCAAAACCGTGTACAAAAAGACCGTGTAAAAACAGACTTAGGTGTATATATATATATATATATATATATATACAATATATATATACAGTAGCGGAGCTAGGCGTCGGCAGTGTCGGTGTCGGCGGCGGCCTCGCAAGTGGCCCCGAAAAATTTTTAATTGTTTAAAATTTCGTTTTTAATTTTTATTTAGTTTTTTTTTTCATACTGATGAGCAAGTAAAGAAAATAATTAATGGTTTACGGGCACTATCATTTTACTCTCTTATCTCTAATGGACACTATCTAATATCGTCTGTCAACACTATAGATTATTAAATCTAAACAACTTCGCGCGAGAAGGCTAATTCTCTGATTGTTTATATTTGTTTGATTGTTTCTTATGCGAAGAAAATGTAAGTCATTATTCCTTTTGGGAATTCTTATGAGTAGGTATCATAATGTATCCAAACAGTAATTAAATATTCGAGGAATAAAATTAATCAATGATCAGTAAGAATTGATCAATGAGATATATAACAATCGTTTTATATTTTGAAATAAATAATATATAAATACTGTTAATTTGAAACTAATCATCGTTTCACCACCGTCAACACAAGCATATATTTTTGAATCATTTTAATCAGATGGTCAGTTCTTTGAAGACTGCATTGATAACCTTTACACTTTTTTTGCATCTCCGAAACCGCTGGACCTGCCTTTGCCAATTTATCAACACGAATCGAATGTTTTTTGAATCATTTAAATCGGGTGATCCGCTCCGATATTGTCGACAAAAAATTAAAGATTCTTAAAAAATCCGACATTTCGACATTCCTGAACCAATTTTGGAAATTCAAAAACTGTTCGAAAGTTTTCAGTTGGAAATCGT